AACTAATTTTAAAGTTTTTTAAAAGAATAGGGGACCATGGCCCCTCCTGATTTCCACTTGCTCCGCCTCTGTGTTTAACAGAAAGATCTTAACTGGGTATGAGTTGACTAAATGCAATTCCTGTAGGCACTAGGAAAGAGGTCAAAAGTTCCGCTCACTTGCTTTTGCATTGTAAAATGAAATCGCTTTTGCAGTGTAGGCTAGTTACTTTCGATTATGGGGAATAACAACTGTAGTGGATGGCAGCTGTTGGAATGCTTTTGCACTGCAGGATATATATTAATTTTTTCTAGTTAAGCTACTGTTAAAAGAGGGTGGGACATGGTATGGATGGCCTGTGTTTAGACATTATGGCTGACTAGAGACTAGTTTGTATTCATGGATGATAAGCTGAGGTTATTATGATATTTGACTAGATACAGGCCAGATCATTCCAATTGATTAAAGGGAGAATGCGATAGATTCTCTAACAGCTGTTTTGCTTATTAGACTGGGTTTAGAATCCAATTGAAAGCCTTTTCATTATAAAAATAAATTATCTTTTACAAGACCTTTTATTATGGGTAAAAGCTTATTTTTAACTTTTCATCTTATCAAATTTGAAATTTTTAACTCCTTATCTTATAGTATGATATTTTTAGTTTCTCAATTTATTAGATTTATAAGTTTTAACTCTTTACCTTATAATATAACATTTTTAGTCCCTTACTTATTAAAATTAAAGAAAATAGTCATTACTTTGTAACATTTTGTTAGTTCTATTAATTGATTATTAATTATATTAGTTGACTGTTAGTTGAAACAAACTTTTTTTTAACTAATATAGTTAATAGAGCTAATTTTATATATTTCGTTAATTCTATTGATTGATTATTAATTTACTGTTAGTTGATAAAAACTTACTTTCAACTAATAAAATTAACAATTAGAATAAAGTGAGGGCTATTTTCTTCTATTTTAATAGGTGAATAGAAAAAACTTATAAATTTAGTAAGGTAAAGAGTTAAAAATATTATAATATAAAGTGATGGGTTAAAACCTTTAAACTTAATAAAATAAAAGATTAAAAGTAAGTTTTTACCTTTATTATGATAATTTGTATTAAAATAATATTTACAGTATCTTCCGTCATAATAGTCTGCACTC